TGCTGTGCAGAGATAATGGGGGGGGGCAGGTGTTCCCACTGCCTATTTGGAGGTTAGTACAGGTATAAAGAAGCCCTCCTCCCGAGAAAAATACAGCTAAAGCTCATCATCAGTTGATTTCGTCATCTGGACTAACTTGGCCAGAGAAGCTCACTTGCATTTGCAGTTCTGTGAGGACAGATGCAAAGATTTTTGTGTGGAGCAGCGACGTGTAAGTAAGTGCAAGAAGTTTCTGTCCCCGGAGAGAGGCAGGCGCTGGGGCTGGCAGAGCGGAGGAGTTGGTATGCACTTTCTCTCTCCACAGTGAGGAGTTCCCTGAGACGTCTGGCAAGGGAACTCCTGCAGAATCAAGGCGAGCCTGTTCTCAGGTTGCCAAAGCGTAAGAACAGGGGTCAGAAGATGGGTGCAAAACCTCGAATGAGAACACAGATGAATTATTCATGCAGGAAGCTGGAAATACTGCCTTATTCCTCCTTTTCATACAGTGCTCATTCCTGTAACCTCTATTTTGGCTTGTGTTTGTCATGTAAATTGTCTTCTTCGTTAAAGACAGGGAGGATCACAACACTGTGTGGCAGCTTTGACAGAGGGTTGGGGTTTATTTTAGGGGTCTGCACCACAGTGGCTAAAGGTTTGAAAGTGAAAATTAACAGAATTAACAAGCACTATTATAATAATATTTTCTCTTTAGATACTCTTTGCTGTGTGAGACAACTTTTGAAATTCAGGCTTTACGTGAATTCAAGAGTCCATGTTGCAGCAGTGTGAGCTATCTGGTGAAAGTGAGTTGCGATTTATTAGCAGTTAGGAGCCCTTCATCTGAACTTCCACAGGGTTTTACTGCATGGTACCCTGTCAAGCAATAAAGCCAAGTTGCAACCCAAAGGTGTGAAACCACAGAACCAGGCTCTTACACATGGAAGCCCTAGTGTATTTAAAATGAAATACTGTATGTTTTCGTTTTCTTGTCTAAGGCAGAGATAAATGATTGAAAGACATTCCTTCTTGTTCAGACAGAAGCAAATTTTGGATGCTACAAATTACTTTCTTGTGAGTGCTTTTTCTTGCAGATGCTGCTACTCCTTCTTATAATTACATTAACTTTGTTTGCCAGATGTTCAGCGACAATATAATACTGCTGTAGTCTGTTTTTCAGTTGCTTTATTTGTTCCTAGGACAACTCCTTTCTTGCTTTTTTGTTCAGAGAGGGAATAGACAAAAGGAAAAAAATCCTTTACAAATGTTTTAAAGTGCAAAAACTCGGGCAATGGATTTCACCCCTCTCTCTGTCTAACTGAAACAATGAAAGTCCTGCACTTTAATCTTCTTAGCCCCAGGGGGTCTTCTAATTATTGCAGCTGTTGCACAGGCTTATACATACTGACATCCCCCTTCCATTCATCTTGGAGGCTCTTTTATGTCCATTAGCTCCTCACTGGAAATGGAAGAGCCTTCAGCTCTAAGAATAGGTGAAGTTTACCTTTCGGATCAGGGTGAGGAGAACAAAGCATTCTCCAAGTTCCTTTCCAGGATTTACAAATGACCAAAGGCTATTCTCAGCACTGTAAAAACTACTTTAAATGGACAGTGATATGAACTCTTTAGTCCTGCCTTATTCAGGTGTCACAGGGACCCCAAACATATCCTTGCTAGTAAGGGCAGTGGTTGCTTCCACTCTGGAAAAATGAGGTGAGATAGCTGGTTGTACAGAATGGACTTGTACATTTAAGCAGTAGGAAGCTTAAAAAAAAATACAAGTTCAGAGAAATATGTTGCCATCTCCTGTGGTTGTACTGAGAATCAGTGCTCTTGTACCCAGAAGAAGTCATAGCATCCGTGAATCACAGAATATCTTTGTTTGGAAGAGATTTTTTAAGATCACTGAGTCCAGCCATTAACCTAGCACTGCCAGGCCACCGCTAAACCATGTCCCTAAGCAAACTTATGAAAAACACAAACCAAAACAAACAAAAAAACCTCAATGAAAAAAGAGACAATTAATCTAATTTAATCTAAAATAAATTTTAGTTAAGATTAAAAGAAACAAATTGTTTTACATACTTGGGAATTTCTGGTTTGACCCTTTTAGAGTCAATGTCAAATATTGTACACTAAAGGAAAGAAGGCTTAAAATTTTTCTGTATATTCAACAATAGCATTCAGTAAAGCCAGATGCCCAGCTTGTGAATATTATTATGAGTTCATTCAAATCAGAGTAGGTGTTTTATTTGTTTCTGTTATGAGCTCTGTAAAACTTGCCCATTTCTTATTTCTAGACCCAGAACACCAAGAAGATCACTTGAACTTGCATTTTTATTTGCTACTGTACCACTGAGTTGCATAATGCTCATTTATACCAGCAGATTATTTGCTCACAGTGTCAACCAATGTTACTAAATTCTAAACGTGTTAAAATAAATATTGTAATGCAAACCACAGCTTTAAAGAAAATAATAGTTTTCTAATTTTAAGCATCTAATTTAAAAAAAAAACAAACACAAAAAACCCCAAACCAAAACCAAGTTGTGACTATTTTCTTTTTATGTTGTCAGGAAGTGCTCTGTGTCAGACACATGGTAAAGGACTGTGTTGTTTAGGGTACACAAAACCAAAATACACACACACACATAAAAATACATGCATGTAAGGTTTTGCGCATATTAAGAGAGTATAAATGGTATGTAAATTTGCCCTAACCAGGCAATGGAGGGTGTCCTATATCAGATAAAGTGCGGGGATAGAGGAGTCAGTAAATATACCTCTCTGTCATTCCCGTTCAATCTCCCCTGATACAGATAGTTTGTATTAAGAAAATGTTCTTGATGCTGTCTCGAGCAGTCATGGATGTCTCTCATCCATGCTGTTACGTCCCTTGGACTCCCAGCACAGGATGAAGATGCCCATTGGAAGTGTTATCCCTGGTCTTTGCTAGTTCCTGAAGTCTGCCCAGAAATTGGAAGACTGTTTTGGGGCCTGAGCGCTAATCTGAACGAATCTACCAATTTAACAGTCTTGATGACTGACGTACAGGCACCTAGAATATTTAATTTAGCAATATAAACATAGCCATAATTTTTCAAGATATCACCATTGCCAAACAAGGCTCTGGTCCATTTGAAGGTGAAATGACAGTGTTGATTGGAAGAGGCGGTTTGTAATGGATTCTGAAAAGGCTTTTTTGGGGGCACTAGTGGTCTGTAAGCTTCTAGTTAGTAGCTGCAGCTGGTGTGTGACTGTATTAAATGATGAAATATGGAAATGTCCAGAATTTCCTCTTCTATTCCCTGTTTCTCTGCCAGAAGCCTTGATAAAACCAGTATCTGATGATCGAGGTTTAACTTCCCCGTGAATAGTTTTCACATAATGTATTATATTTTAACTTCAGAAAACTTCTTAGTCAATCACAAAAAGAGGAAAAAATATGTATTTTCTATTTATTGGCCATATCCAGACCTTTGACAAGTAGCAAAATTTTACTGAATTTGTCTGCTTGAGAAAAAGTATTTTAAAGTACATTGGAACCTCTTGAATCAACATTTTATTAAGTTAAACATATTTCTGTTTACTCATAAATCAGCAGACTTTCTTGAACAGTGCTGTCATAACAAAGACTTCTTGTTAAGTTCATTATTACTACAAGGTCACCATTTCCCAAAGCTTTATTACAGTATGTTATTTCCTCATCTTGAAGTAGTCAAATAAAGTCATCAGAGAAAAAAAAAATTACAGTTTATTTTTCTTCCTTTGTAGCCCTTCTGTGTAGCGGATGTTTTATGGTGTTGCAATGCTTCTGAAGGTTTTAGAGTCCAATAAATGAGGTTAAATGTTATTTTTCAGACATAATCAGGGGACAACCTTTTGATGCTAAACTGTAAAAGACACTGGAAAAGGGAGGAAGTGACTTTTCAAGGCAGAATATCTGTTTTCCACCACTTTAGAGTTGGTGGCCTTTATGGTTTTTTTCTTAGGTGTGCATGTGTATCTGTTGCTGAATTCGGTGGGAATTATGTGTATAATAGAAAGCAGAATGTGGCTTCTGGACACATCCTGCCTTAACCAAAACCATCTTAACTCTGTGCCTCCCTCTCCAAACGTCTGATGTTCTCAAGTAACTTTTGAAATCATTGAGATTCTTTCCAGAGTCAGAAAGGCTGAAAATAAAACCAAGCTTTTGATTTTGTTTGTGTAATTTGTAGCATGTGCAGGAAAACATGGTTATGAAAAATTGAATAACAGCCATATATTTATAAATGTTGTATTTGCAGTAAGCTTTGATGCATAGGAACAGACATCAGGACCATCATCACCGCTTAACAAACCTGTATTAAAAGCACTGTTTTTCCCATGTCCCCATTGGTCACATATCTCACTGCAGCTAGCAAGTGTCAGGCTCTCAAGAGATTCACTGTTTTAACTTCTGTGTGCAGTGACTGCAGTGGACTGCTTTTTAAGCAGTCTATTTTTAAGCCCACTTTTTCTAAGAACTAGATGTGCTCAATCTTGTCTGCTCACACAGTTTGGCTTGCAATTGGATGTGTCATGTGAGCCAATAAGTCAACATGTCAGGTAGTACCATTAGCATCAGCATCCTTACCTGCAATGCTAATAGTCAACCAGCACTTAGAACTGGAAGAGTCCAGTTAACTGTGAGATATTATTGACATATTTTAGCATTCATTCTCCCTTTTGATCACTTTTTTTTTCTGTAATACAGCAGGGAAAATGCATGCATGGTTTAATTACCTTTTTTCTCTGTATATAGTGACTATAATTTCGTAAACTATTAATGATGTGCTATCATATGATTACTGGTAGCAGCCACTAGAGGGAGGGACATCATTTACATGATAACATATGTCTTTGCCTTCTACTATTATTAACGTACCCATCTGTTTTCAGCATTGTAACAATACCTAAGTGAATTTACTGTATGGTAATGATTGCAGAAACAATGCAAAATGTGTCACAACTGTAATTTTTTTTTTTTTTGGTCTTCTCAGGTGTTGTATTTCATTATCGTGCAGCAACCAGCAGGTATACTCTGAATTTTACACAAGCTCAGCAGACTTGTCTGGACAACGGGGCTGTCATAGCAAGCCCAGAGCAACTGAAAGCAGCCTATGAAGATGGATTTGAGCAATGTGATGCTGGCTGGTTGTCTGACCAGACTGTTAGGTGAGATATTTAAGAGGTCTCTTGACAGTTTCCCAAAATTAATATGTTTTGCTTGTACAGACTTAAAATGCTGACAACTTAATAATAAATATGAGCATGCTGTATTTCAGGTATCCAATTAGACATCCAAGAATTGGCTGCTTTGGAGATAAAATGGGAAAGAAAGGAGTCAGAACATACGGGCGCCGTTTTCCTAATGAAACATACGACGTGTACTGCTATGTGGAACACATGGAAGGTAGGATAGGTCCATATTTACTCTGCACTGCAACATATAAAAAATGACTGGGGATTCTTATGTGGAAAGGCAAGGAAATAAATTCTGTGAAAAATAAGTTCTAGCTGGTTTGAATCCAAAGAGGACTGCTGAATGAAGTGAACCTATAGTTTGTGGTCTAGCAGGCCTTAATTAAAGGCAAATGTGGAGTCTACAAAGAGATATTCAGGTTTAAAGCTTCTATACTTAGTGCAGTATATCTCACAGAAGTTGCTGCTGAAGCATCTTGGGTTTTGAATGTTATAAAAGGATTTTCAACGAAATGCATTTAATGTTTGAGAAGCTATATATAATATATATTTAATTGGATATATTTTTCAAAAAGAGGCGTCAAGAAAGAAACAAAAAACCAGAAACTTTGGAGTGAAGAATCTGAATCTTCTTTAGTAGAATTCTTTGCAATTCTGTAGTACAAGTATAATCTTTGTAAAAGCTGCTAATTAAATGGCTCTAATGCAGCAAAGCGATTATAATTCTGCCACATGGTGACTATGAACCACAGATTATATTGTGAACCCCATAGTACTTTGTATTCCATGTTTAGGCTGTATGATCAGTTTTTATTCTATGGAGAAGTAGACAATAAAAAGAAAAAACGTGGTAATTTTTTCTGTGATTGTGCAGTTAGTATGAACAAATCTCCATGTTTTAGATGTGATGCTATAATCATTTCTTACAATCTCTCTTCTGGAAGTGAATTTAACTATCCTTTCAGTGGGCCTATAGATATGTTCCAGACACCAGATATCCTTATGCTTAGACAGTACTGTGACTAGTTAAATATATACACTTAAAATATAAATGTAGAAATAGCCTTTCCTGTCCTGTAGCCTTCTGAGTTTGTTTTTTTTTTTTTTGGCTTTGTGCTGGTTATGCACATAGGAACTTAATTTTAGTACAGAAATACTTTGCAACCAGGACCAAAGTACAGTTTCCATTTACTGCAGTGGTCTGAGTGTGTCATGCTGTTTCTGTCTTGATAGGTTTCTGTACCATACCGGTTTTGCTGTTTATTTCTAAAAAAAGTACTTATAGTTCCTAATAAAGTATCTTTTGGGCTGAACCTTGATTGATATATATTTAGCTTAGTGCTCCTGAAGTCAGTTGCACATAAATCAGCCATGGCTTTGAGCAAGCCTGCCTTTGTATGTGTACATATACTTGTAACAAGCAATTGCAGAACAGTTGCTCAGTGTTTGTTTATATTCTCTAAGAAGAAATAAGTTAGATCATGCAGTTTTCTCCTGCTGATCACTTACAAAACTTCAGTCACTGAAATCAGTAAGCATTTTTCTCTTAGTAGCTGAGGATCTGCCCCAGACTATGTTCCTGTTGGAGATTTATAAAATACAAGCAACCAAGCCTTGCAAAGTCTCAAAAAACATATAAGCCTAAGAACTCTAAAATTTAAGTGACATAATTTTGTTAGTGCTCAGCATTGTCTTAATTTTGCTTATGTTCCCCCTATATCTGCTAGTGAGCAGCATATTTGAAAACCTGGAATTCATAATATTGATCCTTGATCAGTCCTTGATGGAATCTAATTCTGAATCAACTCTGAACTGAGGCTTTCAAATTTGAGTCTTTATTAGCTTATAAATAGAAGTTTTACTAATCCATGTCATTCCTGCATGAAGAAAAATGCCTTGTTCCTCTCCCTCTTCAGAACAGAGAAGTGTAAATAATACGGAGAAGTTTATCCTGAACACATGTCACCCACCAATTTCTCAGGGTCAAATATTCTCAGTGAGCTTTTAAAAATAGAAGTTTAACAAGTCAAAACTAATGCCTGTTTCACTGAGGCTAAAGTTCTGTGGTCAGAACAACCTGGAACCAGGCAGTGAGGTTCAAAGAGGCTGCAGTACCTGTGAAGTCTTCTTTGGCAAAGATGTGTGTACATAGATTCTCAATTTCTCATGAACATTAATTAATTAATTACCGTTTGTCATAAAATTTCATTTACCAAGATTTAGGAGCTGACTTTCCTCTCTGGGTAGCTGTGCATCCTGTCCCATTACTGTGGGTGGTGATCTGTTTAAGCATGTACATGTCTGTGTGGTCTGTCAGCTGGACTGTGCTAATGTGATCTGCTTGAATATTAAACCTTTAGCACTCTAAGAAATATAAGCTAGTAGAGAATACTGCTGAGAGTTGGTCAATCAACCCAGTTAACAATAAGCACGTTCATTTTACCCTCTTCCTTGCACAGTAGCTTCCTGTAGAAAACTGATTCAAGCAAATGCACAGTTTCAGCCTTTATGTTAAAGGCTCCATAGGCTGGGACAAGGATTAAAGTCCTAAAAGGGCATGTAGGTCTAACTTTTGAAGACTGTGATTGACCACTTTCTGGGATCCACTGAAACTCTCCAAGGCCTTTGCAAACCTGTTGTATAGTAACACGATGCTTATAAAGATGGATACAGATTCAGAATGAAAATGCAGGTGGCAAAGATTCCTGCTTCATTACTGTCCTTGTTGAAGGAAAAGTATATTTGACCTTGCTGTCATAAAAATGATTCTCAGAATACGCATTTATAAAAATTTTCTAGAATCTTTCCTCACAAACTAAGGAAAAAGCACTTCATCTTAGGCTGGTACATATTGTATGCCTTTTTTGCACTGATGCAGGTGCAAGACAAAATAGTGTGATAAATGATGGCTGCACGTTTTGTTTTGTTAATAGATAACGGTATTGCTACTAGAAGCACTTTATTGTAGTAGTAAGCTGAATCTGAGAAGAGGACAATTTCTTTTACAGTTCTACCATTGACTTCAACAAAGCAGAGTCAGGTCAATGCTGAACACGTAAGACAACTCATCCTTAAGCATATACAGAGCAGGAAGGTCCTGTATATGCTATGAAGAGGTGAATGCTGTTAACGAGATAATTGCCAATTAGCTGTACAGCCTCAACCTGCTGCATAGGGATTCATTCTTTTCTGACTATATTGATCAGTTTTAATGCCGGATTATTATAATAGTTAACCATAGATATTTATCCCCCCTTGTTTTTCTATGTTTTTTCTTTCTTTTTTTTTTTATGTGTGTGGTTTTTGTGTCTTTTTTTTTAATGTATTTTTTTCAGAAGTTTTCAAATGAACTGGAGTCTAAAAATAAATTCTAGGAGTCAGAAGGAGTGATGGTTTCATGGATATAGGCATGCTATAGTGATATACAGAAGAGTTAATTTATTCTGTTTGGATGAAGAGAAACAGATGCACTCTAGGAAGATACAGTACCACGTCATGGTATAGTGCAGGATAAATTATTCTTCAGTGCCTTCTCAAAAAGTTGAGCCTCTGACCAGACTTCCTTTTTAAGATGGGACTAAGGAGTCAAGATGGCTTCGTCTATATAACAGAAGCAGTTTCCGTAAGAACAAATGTTAATTTCAAACGCAGAACTTGTTTGAAGTTACGTGACATCAATGAGATTATACTTTGGAACAACTCATCCACAGAAGACATAAAATTAGGTAAAATATCAATAAAAGTTATTGGAAAGCAAACATGACAGTAATCTAGATCCTGGGCTTTGTTTGCTGTATTGAAACACATTTATACATTGGTAGAAGATTTAGCTCATTCTTTAAGATTATGCCAAATTTCTGATTGCCTGTCCACCGAAGGCTGATTCTGCAAGGTATGACCTTTCTTTTGTAATGAGTGCTCTTGACACATCAGTAATAAAAAAGCACAATCATGGTACTTAGTGTCCTGTAAAACTGTGCTTAAAGGTGGGGTTTTTTTCCATGTGAATTTGAAAGTTCCTATTCGCGTAGCCTGTTCTGATTCTACACAAAATCTGTTAGGCTAACTTGCACTGAATAGGTCCTTATTGGGAAAGCTTGTGTCAAGGGGGAGTAGTCATGGAAAAAGATGGTGCCTGATTAATAATATCAAAATCTGGGCCATAATATACATGTCATCATGGAAATCATTGAACAGTTATTGGTCTATTGGCTGCTGTTAGTATGCTACCCCACAAAGCCATAAATGCTGTTAGGAATTCTTGAAATACATTTAAAATGTGTATTGAGTTTACAGTACTAATTTGGGTACTTGCACTGAGGATTTGTAGGAGCAAGACCATTTCAGTTTTTTTCCTTTCTGGCCCATATGAAATCGCAAAGTTAGCCAGACACATGAATTTCTCCTTGAAACACAAACTATTAGTTTAAATGAAAACCAGTTGTCTGGGCTATCTCTTATTATTTCCTTGTTCTGAGGGAAGCTGGAGTTGCTAAAAGCTGCACAATTATAAGTTAAATGTTTTGTGTTTTGTTAAAACACACAGAAGAGTAGTTATGGGAAACATTTAAAATTTCTGGGCTCCTAGTGATAAGAAACTGGAGTAAAAATATCATTAGATACTGGGAATGGTCTATTATTGCAAACTCATCCTTCATATTTCAGTGTAACAAGCATTAACAAAAATGTTTGGGATACCTTTAACTGAGTGAGATGACCTACTAAAAAGAAGTATATTCTAAATTGATTGAGGTGCAGAGGTTTGAATGTAACCCTTGAGGATGGTTTTTTAACGCCTCCAGCTGAAGCAGTGTCTGCACCAGCATTTTCTGTGGAATAATCCCTTGAATGGGAATGGGTGATGGGGCCAGAAGGGCTTTCCATTCTGTCTTCAGATAAGTGTGTTTGTGATTGATTTGACAGTGCTGTGGTGTCAGAAATGGAGACAAAGTGAGGTCTGCTCGCCAAAGCCCACTGATGAAGTGAGGGGCTGTGATGTGTGGTGTTGAGCCAAAGCACAAACTACTCCATGCAGCATTGTCCTCTGGCCAAAGCCAGTTAGAAGCCATATATGTCTAACGAGTGCATGTAATATGCAGATGGGGACTCATGCTAAGAAAGCTATTTTGGGGCGGCTGTGGGGAAGATTATACAGTCTCTTCTCTGTGCACCATTTCCCCCCTCCACAGTGAGTGTGGGGGAGAAAAAGCA